CTTTGGAGTAATTAAAACACTAAAAAAAGATTCGTCGGACAAGTTTTTCATTTTACTTTCGGCTGCATTTGACACGTCCGTTAATGTCCAAACGTTTAAACGACATCTCAAATGAAAATTCTTTTAATTTTTTTAATGCGCACGGATAAAAGTTGAACCGTGTGGCGCGTTGTAAAATTTATTAGTTTCAAATGCGATTTATACGCCGACGACCTTGTAAAAGAACTTTGACTTAAATTATATGCGTTTCAATGAATATATATATATTAAGGTTACATGTTTATATCCAAGGTCAATGTCAAAAAAATATCGAATAATTATTATTATATTCTCCGTCAACAAAACGAATAGGCTAGCGAACGATCAACCATTTTTGCCAAAGCTTATGAAAATAGACAACGCGTATTGTTATTGGATACGAATTAATTGTGTTATCATTCTACAGATTGCCTGTAGAACGGTCGGTTATCATCATTACTGCGTCTTACACGATTTTGTGTGTATAAGAATAAAGGATTCGAGATCAATGCAAACCAGCTTCCGGCGCCGCATTCCTTGACGTCACGAATTTCCATTTATAAAAACGATCAACTCTTTGTTTCGCGGTTCGGTTGTATTATATTAACGCTCATCTCGGGTGTCCCAAACTGGTATCCTCTGTTTCCATTTGTTTTATTTTTTAAATGCGCCAAGTGCGCAGAATTCTACTTCAAACAAGACCGTGTGCGGTACAGGTAAACCTAAAGCACGTCCATCGCAAAAATATTGTAATGTCCGAGTGGACTGTGTTCAATAATCGCATTAACGAGGTAATGTTTGCGGGACCTCAAAAGCAAACGACCTGTTTGTCTCGAGGTGTTTAGCCGAACACATTATTATGAAAGTTGTCGCTATTCTTTTTTCGATAATAAAACAATCGACGGCGACGGTTTTGACAACTAGCGACTCCAACCAGACGTAGTCGCCGGTAGGTCTTTTAGGTTCGTCACGTGCGTTTCCGGGAACTGTTTGTCTTTGGAATTTCGAGAGAGTCACCGTATAGAAGCAGCAGCAGCATCCACTCCGGAGATGTCTCAAGGGCGCGACCATATGCGTACGCGTACAGTGGAAAACAATGGTCGTGCACATTCCGCTATCGTGAATTCCGGTTTTGGACTTATCAAAGGGGTTTTAATAAAAACCCAAACGACAATGAAAAAACTCGGCCGTCTGGGCCGTTAACCCAAAATTAAATTGCGTGTTCGTGTGAAATGACCGCCGCGTATAATGTGTACACGAATAAATTATCTATCTACTATTAATAATTGTTCCGCACACGGGCCATAAATTCGAAGGCGGTGGACTATGCGCTCCTGTTTTACGAGCAATGTTTTTTATTTCGGCGGTCAAATACTCGCAAGCGTACACCTCAAATGCATTAACGATAATTGACAGGAAAAGACGGAGAGCGACGTGTTGAAATGATTTCAGCAACGTTTATGTCACGATCACTTAACAAATTATCGATTTGGGCGAATGCAAATATCATTTCGCATTCCGTAAAACAGGCGAGTGTAAGAATTGACTTCTAGAGGCAGCTGATACAAGTTTTTATGACATTATATTTGTTAATCAACGTTTATAATACAAGGTACGTGTAAAAAAATTGACAGAAAAAACCGACCCTGAGCATACTTTAATTATTTATGAATTGCCGCGTTTAATAAATCGGTTATTTGCGTTAAAAAATCAAGTAAATGGGACCCCCGAAAATGTTGTGCCCGAAACCGGTCGGAAATTCGCGAGATGAGACCGGTTGTATAATATCGACGTCAGATTCGAGTGACGTCGATGAAGCAAACGGTTGGAAATCAAGAGTCGTGTTATTTTACGGGGGGGCAACTTTAAGAGGTAATTGAACGTCTTAAAAACTAGAAAATATGGAACGGGCCGAGGTCGCCGCAACAGACAACGTATGCCACCGAAAACGAGTCTCTAGGCCATGCGTTTGGAAATGTACCAAAAATTTTAATTTGTGCTTAAATTATGCATGAATTCATTTAACAGCCATTAGGATATTTTGAAGTTCATGATGTCTACTGCTCAACCACCGAGCCGATCGATCAGTAAGTCCGATCCGGCAAACAATAATTATAATAATATACATGTGCACAAGTAATTTTGTGAATGAAAATCATTACAGACCTGTGCCCCAAAAAACCCTTGGAGCGACATGAGTGTGCCTAAACGTAAAAAACGTACTCTGAAACAGGCTTTCGTTTTGTGTAAAAATTCAGTACAGCCTGTTGCTTTATAATAAACCAGTCACAAACGTTGTAATCAATCTAAAATTTGGCACCTAGAGACCAAATTATACTTTCGTTGGTTTCATTTATCGGTCGTAATGTTACACAACGAGGATGATCATCTCTAACATCATAAATTCATTGAATCAGTTAGCTAGTTTACCGTTCTCAAATCGTTTTACAAGTATCTAATTGGGCTTCCGTATGTATAAGTATTTTATTTTTATTTTTAAAAAAGTTTCGATATACACATTAATCATTTTGTAATCTCCTAATACTTTAAAACATTGCCTAATTTCTATTGATTGTAACTAAAAACAGTTGAGTTACTGTGATAAGAAACTGATTTTGTCTCCAAGGTTTAGATATTAATAAGTACCTGAGTTGTACGACCACTTTTGGAAAGGAAGTCTCAAATTAAAACTCAATAGCTTAGAGCAAAAAATTAAGAAAACTAATAAAATTAGATATTTTCCGTCAGATTTTTTCGCGATAACGTTAATAAAAACACTATTATTTATAGTATTAGATTTTTTCCAATATAAAATACTAAGACTTTTTTTTTATGTAAAAGGAAACATTTAAAAATTTTTAAATGGGGGGATTGTTCACAACATTTAAAACATTGTAGATAACTTGTTGTTTTTCTTACAACACATTCAAAAAGGCTATTGTCTTGTAATTACTGCTAGAATTTTTACTCATTACTTTAATAATGTTTTATATCTGACTAGAACGTCATATGAGTTTTTAAAAGCTAACCTAATGAAATAAGCTATCTATTGGTAAAACACTGGTGGATTTAAACATTTTGATTTGTAAAGTGACACTCTTTCGTCGTTAATTATTAAATTTTTCATAAAAGAAATGATATTTTACTGAGCTAGACGTTATGCGTTTCGTTTTTATAACCTAATAACTATACGTCACCAGCGATTAGCGAAGACAATAATAATTTCCTACACATTATTAGCAAAACTCTCGGGCTTTTCTAGAATACCTCTTCGGGTATTCTAGTCTTCATTATTACTACAAGTTTTGAATGTTTAAGTAATTTTTTATTTATCTAATATAATCGGCAGTCGTATTTGTGTGCGTACAAAAAAAAAAAAAAAAATTAATGATATTGTTTTTGGCACTAGACACCGCTTTTTAGGCACGTTAAACAAAAGGGAAAATTTTTTTGGAATAAATTACAATCATCGGTTCCACCGTTCATTCATTCATTGTTATGTCTGTATTTCGCATTTACACCGTGATAGCCGTTGAATAAACAAGTAGACTGTGAATATCATGAAATATGATAGCCTCAAAGTCCTTTGAACACACATAATCTCCTTATTTCGGTCATTCAACATTCCGTTCGGTCAGAAGGTTGAGAAATGGCCTGTTGCCTACGCCATTTGTTATTCATCAGATTGCTTTGCCGTTTTTTTTTTCAATCCGCATTGTTTTATAATATTATTATTATTATTATTTGTATAGTACGATCGTTTGACGTAATGATAAAACAACTGGCACATACAGTTTTCAGTAGTTTTATTCAATATATCCATTGCTATAATATACGAATAGTTAATTCTCTTAAAAGACAAACAAAGCGATTCATAAAACAAATATTCTTTAACATTGATCGGTAAATAATCCAAACCTTTGTAACAATAAGTAATATTACTGAGACATAATGAACTGTATACTAGTTTGATGTAAATTATACGAAAACCAGACATTTGCCATAATTTACAAGGATTCTGCATACAAATTTATCACATAGACATACTCTAACCTTCATAGTTTGATCAATTAAAAAAGAAATCGGTGACACTGTAGATATTTAGTTACTTTTAATTACAAGGCCTCTTTTTCCAATTGTCTCTTAATTTGACTTTACATAATTGTTCATAAAATTTTTAAGTTTACAAAAAAATTACTCTTTATTTACAATTAAGAAAAGTATCTGAATAATATACAAGATTGTCAAAAATAAAATACAAGTACTTTTTGTACTTTCATAACTTATAAAACAGAAATATAATTTATCGAAAATTTATGAGTTTTTTTTTTTAAGACGTGATATTAATATTAAAAGACTGACGTCGGTATGCAAAACAAACTTTGGAGCTATTTTTTTAATTTGTAGGGTTAAAGAAAAATCGTATTATTTGAATTAATCGTGATAACTGAACATTATGAAAATTTGAAATTAAAAAGTTTCGAAAAGGATTGTAATATATAAGGAACAATATCGATTTATATTGAATTTCAGAATTAATGAGGTTGTTATCGAAAAAGTCAAGAACTTTCATGTGAAATAAGAATTTTATAGTAAACTGCAATACTGTATTACATATTACAATATGGGCCACGACCGCTGATAAACAGTGGGGGTTATCGGTTGGTTCGTTATTGAATTCTCGATAGTTAATGATAAAATAACCTTTTGATTTTCAAAATTTAGTAATTAGAATTTTTAAAGGTAATCACGGATAAAATATGTCCATCTAAGTTATTTTGATAAAAGATATTTGGGAAAATCGATTACTTTTTTTTGTAAAATATATGTTAAAATAGAGGAAAAATGAAATTCACTTTTAAATATTTGTTTCAAAATTTTCAAAAATTAAATAAAAATATCGAACGCAAAAATAGAAAACAATGTTTAAAAATTCACATTAATATAACATATTTCTTAATAATAGCTAATCAAAATCTTACCACACGTTCATGAATCATATTTGAATATTATAATTGGACAAATTTTTTTTTAGCACATAGCCGGGTTTCATACGACTAGAACAATCTGCTGTGCTGGCGCGTTTTCATCTTCAAATGTGAGCTTTAGATTACTAAAAAATAACGCAATCATCCAATTAAACAGTACAATGTACATTAAGTACCACTTATATTTTGGACAATTGAAATATTTTAACATAATTAAATAGAATATGAACGCGTTGATTCACTAAAGTCTTGTCCAGTTTAGATTTTATCTGACACTATTTTTCAACTTATAAATTTATGATTTTATTTTTTAATTCATTGACTAGTCAAAATATGATAAAATGTACTATAAGTGTTTGTTTTATGTTCTTTCCGGTCAATAAACATATACAAAAACTTTTCAAGTCTATACGTTTGACAATAATAATTGGAAAAAAACAGATATTTTATACATTTTTTACATACCTGTAACGACTTAATAACAAATTATTTGAACAATAGAAAATGATAAAATGTAAGGAATGTATTCAGTTGGTAAGCATAACTGAATTTCAACACCCCCAGAATTTTTGTTTTAATTGCGCCCATGTGTGTTCCGCGTTCAAATTTAGTCGGAGACAGTACTGTTAAATAATAAAATAAGTATTTAAGTATAAATACTTAATATATAAAAATGAAATATTAGTATAAATCAACCGAATTCAAACAGGTGATACAATTTTCGTTATTATTTTTTTTTCTAATTTTATTTCTATATGCTAATTTTTATACCACTGTTGTTAATTCACTGGAACTCGTTTTCATCGTATGTAAAAGCATAATTATATTTAATCAAAAGAGTTATTTAATAATTATTGCAGTAATTTTGTATCTAATTTTTAGTAACTAGATTTAAAAACAAATAAAAATATTAAAAATTAGGTTATTTTGGTTTTATCTTTCGATTGCTTACATATGTTAGTCACTTTTTATTTTACTATAAACCCGAAAAATATGTGAATACAACAAATGATAATTTGTTCGATTAAGTATTCTATCCATTTAGTTGTTAGTTCTATTTTTAAATATTAGGTCTATATTTTCATCAGTTGATTAAAATCGACTGCTAAGTGTTCATTTTCTAAACTCATATGGAAATAACTTATCATTTATATATTCAATAAAAATGTGTCGATCTTAAATGAAACTTATCAAGACATCAATGTTATTGTGCATGTTAACTGAAAGTAACAATGACCAAAAACAATAAATTGTCATACCCGACGGAAGTCCAGTAAAGAAGTCGGGGAATTGAAAGGAGGGAATGCGACACACGCGTAGAATCGTTCACAAATCACTAAAACCTGAATCGATGTGTATTGAGTTCCCGTAAAAAATAATAACGTTAATGTATGTTGAAAGGAACAGTGTTCCAGTGGTGTACAGGTGACGACAATCCGGTTTTTAATTGATTAATTTTTTTATTTAAAAATATTATAAAACTATTATGAATCCTGTCATTACTATTTTATTCAATAATTTGTCAAGTGAAGTTTCGAGGACGGGGCTACCTAATTGATTATATTTTATTCGTTTGAACTTCTTCTATTTAACTGATGTACGTTTTTAGCAATATCTAATTGGTTTTCTCCATACGTTCGAACCGTATGTTTCTCCGTGTCTAATGCTGACTACAATTATACGTTATTAATATTTCATTTCGAAGAAACTCGTGTTTTAAATTATATTTTACTATTTAGTTTTTTTTACACTATAAAGGTACAGCGTAGACGGATATTGTCTATCCAAGTTCAATTTAAAATCCAAACCATTCATTATCAATTATTTAGGTCGTTGTAATTACCACTATAGCGATATCAGAGATATGAGAATATTGAAAAATTCAATTAATTTATATTGACAAATGATTATTGCGAAAAATGCTAGTTATTTTTCATTTAATACCACTTTATGCGTATAATTTATTACTGCTTGTACTTATTACCTATAACTGTATAGATTGTCCAGGAAATGTTACACTGTTGTAGAAGAATATATTACGTGTTCTGTGGAATATTATTTTACATTAAAATCGATTAAAAGCCATATTTTTTTAAAATTGTTGTCGTCAAAACGAAATTTCGAACAACTATTCTTAGAAATTCATCACTTGGTAAATACATAAGTTTTAAATATTTAATGATATTGAAAATAGCTTATGAAATATATTTTAAAGTAACTTAAGTTGGTTTCGTAGCTTGATTTCTGTCAAATCAAACAAAATATTGTAAATAAAGAATTGTATGAAATTTTTATTTTTTAATTGCCGGTACTTGTGGATAAAATGTAATTCGACGGAATTTTCAGACTATTTTATAGCGCATTCTTCCATCTATAACACTATATTAGTGTTGACTGAGCATAATAAACGTAATCGGAAATACTTATGAATTGTCTTCGATTTGTTTTTTTTTTTTTTCCCAATAGTTATCTCTTCCCTTCCTTCTACACCCTAGAGCAAACACACGTGTGTATTTGTTATCCGTCATTGACTACTTGTGTACATAATTAATCTCGATTACTCGAATTCGAAGTAAAAATAAAAAAAAATAAAAGATTTTGTAACACAATAGGTGTCTTATGTACAGTCTGTTTAGCATTTATACCGCAAACAGCTGTCATTGTAGCCCATTAGTAATCCGGATTAAGAACCCATTGCGGTTGTACATACATGGAATTTAACGTGACCGATATATAATATTATTGTTTACAGACAACGCTATTTAAAGATACGTTTTCCCGTCGACTGCACAACATGCGAAAAATGAATATAAATTTACTTATTGGGCTTCGTAACAATATGACGACCCATTGAACGAAATAACTACTCGAAACCAATGGAATACGACTAGATGCCCAACGATCACACTAAACAAAAGAAGCGATACGGCTGTTCACATTTAATTACATGTAATTAATGTGCCAAACGTCGAGAGATTAGCTATCGAATATTAGCCGATTATAAAAACATCTAATTTGTTTTAATCGGTTTAAGTGATACTATCGTAATTAAATTACAATTAAGATGGTTTTAGATCGTTCCACAGTTGAAAAATTAAATTATTGTTTTGAACGATTTTAACTTAAGAGAGCATAACAATATTTTGTTCCATAAATAGTTCAAGTAAAACTTAGTACAGAGTGTTTACAATAGGTTTTGTTAACTAAACTTTTATAAAAATATTTACTTAGGTGAATTACACCGGTAAAATATCTTTAATAAAGTAAACGATATAGATAATTGATTAGATATTTTTTTAGTTCCCGCGGCTCGCCCAATGTTCCATCACCAATACACTATTTATATTACAATGGTTTAATTATTTTCTTTCGAGTTTGCAATATTCTATTAACATTCGATATAATATACTTGTAACACATAAACGTGAATAAAATGATAATTCACGTGCAATTAGTGAAACACACCGCGGCAAGTATCTAATGCAGCTCAGTGTAATCTTATGCAGTCGACAGGTTCAGTCGAATGCACAGCTCGTTTTGACATGCACTGCGGTCATTCATGACTCCTATTATTTACCGACTTATTAAATATTGCACGCAACTCATAAATTTGAGGTGTAAAATGCTAATAAATATTTATTCGTCTCGTCTCCTCAAACAAAACTGAAAGTATTCAAATGAAAACATTGTTTTTTTTGTGCGTATTGCAACAAACGTGCATCGTCAATGTTTATTTTTAAATTCAGCTACCTATGGTAATTTAAACAAACAACTACAAATTCTATAATAGAATTAAATAATGTGACTTTATAAGAATCGAATCATACTTTATTTTTACTTATTCTAATCTTGACATGTCCAACGGGCTTGAACTAAGCTAGAGACCATAAATAATCTCAATTGACTATGAAATAAGTAAAACTCAAGGTTCATATTAGTCTTTTATTCAATTTTTTTAAAGTAATTATAGAGTTTACAATACCTCTTACATATTCATTTGCCATCCAAATATATATGTGTAATCATCTAGAACTAGAATTTTCAAAGTAAAAAATGTTGAATTAACGTTAGAGTTGCACGAAAACTGAGTCTAGAAGGCTATAGCCCTGATTTATTTTTTTTAAATATGCAAATTGACACATAGATGAATTTTAATTCTGATTTTTATTAACCTTTTCCGAGCCAAAAGATTTTAAGAAAAATTAAGACAAAAAAATGTTTTTAAGAACTTTTTTATTTTTATTTTTGTCAACATGATAAATAAAAACGTTTATTTGGTTTTATCAATTTGCTTATAAGATATTATCAAAATTTACTATGTATTATAACGATTGTGATGGTTTTTTGCGCTACTTATCTTAGTATCAATGTTCTACGTCTATTATTGTATTCATGGAAAAAACAATAAGTAACATTATTCCAAAAGTAATAACTTGAACTGTACCCTTAAATTTAAAAAAAAAAAACATAATTTTCGCAACTCAATTATAAAGAATAATACTTATTTTGTATTGTTACAATAGGTTTAAATAGACCCTAACTCCCTAACTAGTCCCATAGCTAGTCTTATAAAAATGCAATGTAACGATCGATGATCTACTGAATTTTATTGATCGTAACCAGAAACTTAATTTTTTTTTTGCGTATGTTGTTTGTGTAAACACATGTAACAAATAAACGTATTATAATTTCTAGACAAGTTTAAATTGTATCTCGCCTTGAGGCTGAACAAAAATACAATCGGCATTAACCGAAATTTGCGCCGAGAAATAGATTCTGGTTTCTGTCAAACAAAAAATTTGAATAAATTCGCACCAATACTGAATCAAAAATAAAAACGACATGTGTTTACAGTAAATAAAAATCATCTGGCTCTTAAACGGGTCTATGTCGACCACGAGTGAACCGGGCAACTTTTTTCTAGGATGTGTGTTGACGCATTAATTTACTTGATAAAATTCACATAAAGACACAGTATCAGTTAAAAAACAAACTTCAAATTTCCTGCAATATTTCTAGTCGTGTTCTTTTTCAAAACAGTCTTTAATATGATAGTAGCTGTGTCAAATAGAGAACTATTTGTGCGAATGATTTTTTTTTTTTAACTTTTCAGTATAATTTGTTTAACATGTGGCTTTCTTTTTAACATGTATTTCAAACTAAAAATGTAGCAACTCGTTTTTTTCTTTCTGACGCCCTTTGTGCGATTAAAATGAATTTATTATTATTATTATAATTTTTTTTTTTAGGCAGTTTTAAGTAGGTCGAATACACGTTTGCTCAATTATTAATAATCTTATAAAAATGTTTTCGTTTGAAGGTGTACGACTACTTGTGTACATATAAAACATATATGTTACCATACTTGATCAGTCGGTCCAACCACAACGTTTAGAAAACGAGTGTGGTGTGGGATACGTGCGCATTATTCAATTAGAGTCGAATCAACAAAAGGATCAAATTAATAATGAGGTTCGGTAGAAATTACAAGGCGCATCCGGTTTGCGGCTCCTTTGTACGAGGCATTTTGTTAGTGGACGATCCACCCCCGTCACAGTCACCTTCCCATTGGGCTTCTAAAAACAGATAATCGCGTGCTAAAACTCAAAGACAAATCAACGTACAATGTACATGTCTGATTGCCAACGGTAATAAAATAATGAACAAAAAAAAAGAAGAGATAATAAACCATAGCCGTTATTATGTCAGAGGTTCCTTTATTGATTAAATAGCCTAAGTAGTGCGCCGCGCGTACCTTTGGTGAATATCTCTGTTTATCGGCCCCTAGGCATGTCAATTTTGACAGGTATAACTCATAATACGATTTTTCTTCTCAAATTGACTGAATTGGTTTTTACATTATTATTACTTTTGGTAGTATGGCACGATGAACAAAAAAGTGATTTTTGAGGGGACTAAAATCGATTAAACCAATGAGCTGCATACTATAACAGCAAAGTAAAGACGCGAGGGGAAACGCCATCGTCAGCGGTTTGTAGAACCTAAGAGTACGTATTAAAAACTCAGTCGTTCAAATGCGTGTATAGACAGCCACAAAAGTATTTTTTAAATTACTCTTACACAATTTAAGCGTCTGGCAAGCAAGAACCCGAGGCTTTGTCCAAATAAGAACAATAGACGGTGAAACGCGTACGAATTTTGCATTCTGCTCCCATATCCGAATCTTGGAGGTAGCTTTGAAATAATAAGTGTTGACGCACGTTAACCGAACGGTTAAAGGACTACATTAAAATTTTCATCATAAAAAATAACCGCATACATATTTGCAGGTGGACATGTACGCTCGGCATCTTTTCCACAGACCACCGGTCTGTTGGTCGACCATTGATCGGAAGACAAAGAAAACTAACGGGATCGTAAAATTTCTGAATATTAGCAAACGCAAGAGATTCCGTACCCGTTAGCTTCCACAAGATACCAGTCTGGCGGGTTGGTGTTTCTTTGTGCGAGTGGTTTATCGAAAAGGTATAAAATGAGAATAAAAATCTAGTAAATTGAGAATATACGAATGTACAAGGAAAGTGTCATGACACAGCCGATTTAGCTAATACGCGACTAGAATTGGAGCTATTAAATGTTTTCCTCTATTAGCCCATTGTCAAACAATGACTTATCAGTCGGTAGTTATTTCATTTGTCTACGCCGGTCGGTCATTTGTTTAACAACGTACGGCTCCCCACACGAATAGGATTACTCACGTTTCAGCGATCAGCATTGTCGTTTCCTATTTAATAAAAACAAATATTTTATCCACACAACAGTTCGGTGGTAAATTATAGCGTGAAATTATTGCGGTGAAATGAAAATTATTACAGGTAATTCGGCGTGTACAACGTTTGCCTTTAACACGATCGTACCGTTGCGATGGTGTTTTCAATTAACGGGCCAACTTCACCAAAAAACCGGACGTACAGGAAACATTTGGGGTACCCGAAACAGAGTAGCGCGTGGTCTTTGACCCTCCCCACGGTATTGTTCTCACACTTAAGTAAATGTGGGTATCGTACAAGTAGGTACCATCGGGTCGCCGACGATGTACATATAATAAATAAATCAAGTAGCAGTCTAGGAATTACCGTGAGAATTAATTTTCGCGCATCCCTTGAGCAACACATTTTTTCAATAAAATATTTTTAACTTTTTTTCCTCCGTTTCAGATACAATGAACACGAATAATCCTCTCTAGAATTAATTATTTTAATTTATTATTTTTGCCGAGATCTTTTGTATATTAGTAGTCATTCAACAATATTACAATCATTAAATCTTAATTTATTTTTGTTTAGTAATAAAATTTCAATTTATGACCCGTGCCAAATGTGAGTGGCCAAATTCAGACAGTTGCCATAACTGTTAAATGTGTGACCATGATTAAAACTAACATTTTTAGGGGTCTGAATAAATTAACATACATTTACATTGGTATTTGTCAATACACTTTCCAAAAAACCATTTCGAAATCTACAATATCAATAGCGTACAAAACCTAAGGACTTTTTATCTGTTCTATGACACCTGCACACAGTAATAACCGTTAAAATACGTTATTGACCTTAGAAATACAACTCGAGACAAATAATTAAAGTTAATAAGTGAAAAATCTATTATATTTATTATCGTTTTTCGATGATTGTTTTACCATTGTCGTCATCGGAGGGAGAGGGGCAAAGAGAAACAGTTACTCCTTTCTTAACTTTTTGTACAATTACTTTTCATAATCGTTTTTTATTATTAAATTTCTCAAAATAGAACTTTTTTACTTTAATTAAATTCGATTATAATTGTCAGAATTAGAATTCATCTTATCTCGACATGTAGAACTTAAAATTGCATAGCAATTAATTGAAATTAATGCTGCCAAGTATTGTAAGCTAACTTGACATTGAGAAAGAAAACGTGTCATCTCTACCATATTTAATTATTAATCGTAGGGCTAACAATTATTACATGATCTAACATACTATCAAATGATCTTCCCCTTATAAATATTTCTTTACACCTGGTCTCTAAAAACGTGTGATGCCTAAAGCAAGAGCCCCTGTCATCTCGTTTCCGACAAAGTTGGCCGTAGTTAGTCGGATAGTGAAGCCAAATATTAAAAAATAAAATGTTTGCCTTGTCTTGAAGAATTCCTGCGGACTACTTTGTGATATACCGAAATTAATCATACACACTGAGCTGGTACTATTACCTTAGTAATATGCGGTTTTCGTTATATCGTATCATATTGTTTAACAATACTCGTTTATTTCAACTATTGGATTAGTGAATTTTAAACCACTGTGTAAAACTTTACTTTTAATGGTTAAAAAGAGATGTTTAACTAGCATAAATAGATTATTGGTTCTCATTCATTTATTAAAAGAAATGTTATTAAACGTAAAACTAGTTATGACGATTAGGGCGCTTGTCAAAATAATTACTAGATTCAAGAACTTAATGTAGATGGCAAACGAAAAGTCGAGTAATCTTTTTCAACTATCTATATTTTTAATGAGGCCTATTATATATTAATTGTAGATGTCCCGGAAAATAAAACACACCCCGGATTTCAGGTACACTGCCGTTTCAATAATATTTGTGTATCTTTACATTGAAGCTCGAACATGAATATCTAACATGAGCAATAGCGTTCAGTTCACATTTAGAGACACGAAGGGCTAAATGAAAATTAAAATCGGTCGGTTAGGCTCACACGGCTATATCTTTGCAAATGATTATATTTGTATTGGCTGATATTGATATTTCTTTTACCAGAAAAGGCCAGTATCATATGAACGATCTATATACAGAATATTTTGTATTTATGATATATTACAGTAGATTCGTATCATGTTACCGGTCTGTCTACATTTATTAAATATTTATAAATAACAATCTATCTATACGTGTACGTTTTATTTTGTTTTAATTGGTCCCGTCTGAGTATTCGCTATCCACACGCACACAGTCTACATGCGTTGGAAAATAATTACCAGTTTAATCTAATTCAGTCGCACGTAGCGATTATTCGATACAGATAAAGTTGATATTTGAAACGCACTAAACGGAACTGCTGAGCTTTACTTGTTGTTGTCAACAATATTTTGCAAGAAATTAGTGAAGGACAAAAACTATAAAAATGGAAATATCGATCCGACTCAGAAAACAAATACAAGTATAAAATGACTTATGATTTTTTTTCTATTAGTAATAGTGAACAGTTTATTTTAGCCAAGACTATTAATACGTACCACCGCAGCACAAATGTGATAACATCAACTGAACGCAGTCGAACATCATAAATAACAAGTTCGACCGATGGCGATAATACACGTCCTATTACTTAATAATGAAGAGCTGAACAAACTGTCTCGTGTCAATAAGAAACATTCAAGCGGAACCCCACAAAGCAGCAATCGAATACTTAACAAAAACTATTTAATAAATGTACAGGATGCTTGAACATTTCTACTCTTGTAAATTAATTACACAGATGTTGTCTCTTGCAATAATAACACACCGTGTAAATAGAAAAAAAAACGAATTTAAAAAACATTATACATTTCACTATTTTTTTCATAATGCACCGGAATTAACGAAATCGTAACCGAACACGGTTTATAAGTTATAGACCATACTTTTAAGTTCTTGTATTCCAATAGATGCACTTATTTTAAAACGTTCGACTTCTGTCCCACTTGTGTTTAACCTATTAATCTTATTGGTCTGATGCGTTTTAATGGTATTCTACTACGCTGTGAACCACTACAATGTACTTATTTTTTCCTACTCGCAAAAAATCATAATCTTCGCGGGCAGTGGGCGGAGTGGTCGTTTCCTGGTCGCTCGATCATTTTAACTTTAAAGGCATTACACACAACTATAACATACGATACGAGCAAATACACGTATAAAGTGTCCTGTGTGTAGTGACAAACGTAAAATCGTCGTCCTATGCGGTCGCGATACACATAATATAATAATAACACATACTAAATGTTGACCTTTTTTGTGATCCCGTGATGCCGGATGGAAATTTATCGGGTTCTTTGTGTTGGAAAAAAAACATGTTTTGTCCTGGCGGGAGACCAAGGGTAAATAGTAGGGGGGGAAATAGCGCGATTCGAAGGAAATGGTGAACAGAATGATGGCGATCATCCGACAACCCTCGTTAGTATTTTCTTCAAAAGAACAACCGTAACGAATGCGTTTGGTTCGGAACTTAAATTGTTGGACTACAGAATATTATTACATTATTTAAGACCCACCGTGTGGTGCTCATAAATTCCAAGTGTTTAAGATAGTAATAATAATAAAGCACATATAAATCGTTTAAATCACCAGTTTTAGTCTTTTATATTTTATCATAAAATCCTTTAGGAAGAAGACGCATCGTTCATCATATTTTTCCACGGTTCAACTTCACTAGACAGTCAGAAACTATAAAAACATTATTTGTATATTTCTATAGCTCTAGAGTTAAAGATCGAGAAACGTTATAATTGTCACGTGGCTCGACCGCGAAAAACTTTCGTCTTAAGTAAAACGTTGAAGTGAACGAAAACGAACACATTTACAGTGGAAAATTCGTAGATTTCAATAAAATCACAGTCAGGTAGACGCAATGAAAACCAAAACATTTTTACTGGCTAGATTTTTTTTGCTAATATTTCGTCGTCTTGTGCATCGATTGCAAATTAAATAACCAAAGAGAACGTTCGATTGTACAAAAATGTTGCCGATCAAGATAAGACTGCATAAACAAAAAACGTTCCGTCTTTCCAAAGCGTTCCCGTTTAAAGCAGAAGTTATAATAAATTAAAGTTTGATGTTTGGTTTTTAATTAGCCGCTGATTTTTGCGTTACTTTTTTTTTTTTTGCCACTCGCACTGAACATCGGCGTAGTACAAACGGACAAACTCGCCTCGGCGTTAGTCTCTTGTTCCAATTGTGGTGTTGCTACAAGGTGAATGGTAATCGGAGGGACAAGAAGAATTTGCATAACATGCCGCGTGTGTGTTGTGCGACGATGGGAGTAAATTTGCGTGCGTGTGTGTTATAGAAAAAAAAAAAATGAAACTAATACGGTGACAATAGAAGTATATGTATACTGTACTCTATATAAACTATACTACCAGTCCTTATGCTAATCCGCCGCCACCGACAAGGTTAATACCAGTTGAAAAGTCAAAGGTGAAACCCACGGCGGTATATCCATTGTTCTGTTCAAGTCTGCACACAAATGTACAGTTGTATGTATTTCGATTATGCTGCGGTCTCTTCCGATCCGGTTTGCAGGCTACCCGAAAAAAAAGAGGATGCCGAATTTGTGTTTATTTAATTTATTTTCGTACTCCACTTTCTATAATTTTCGTTAAGGTAGAATCTTAAGTTATGAACAAATGATTTCGAAACAAAAACGAACATACTGCAGCGATTGCGGCTTTTTAAACATCGCATATGTTTTATGTACACACACGAGTGTACTCCAAGTCGGAGAAAGTGGAAACTAGTCTGCCGATTTCGGATGGACACGAATGGCTCGTTGCCAAATTGCCAAAACATTATTACATCCATTTGGGTACACCGTAAATTTTACACGTCGTCCTTAGGGTCGATCCCCTCACGAGTTACATTTCATTTCTTTCGAACACATCGACCGCCCACAAAACTGGATACGGTCAAATTATTCTATTAATTTATAGCTTGAATATTTTTCAAGTCTGCTACCACGACTTTAATGGACACTATGCAGTAAATTGAGGTTGCAAACTCTAAAGGGCTACAGAGAAAGACATTTCGTAATGAAATTAAAGTACCCTGCAAGTAAGATAACTGCGCTTGTAGATGATACTTAACTTGGACGAGCAGTTTAAGTTTCATAATGAGATACACTATACATGCACTACACTGTTTGTGTGTACAAATACATGTTTCTAATTTTACATATACTTTTATGAATTCAAACAGAACATAAATTGCATTGATAAAGTAGAATGTAATCTAAGTCTGCGCAAGGCCGTATTTAAGAGGGGTTAAAACTAGAGCTCCTTATTTCACGTGTACACGCTTTCAAGTATTCACGTGAAATTAAGGTTCGATTTATAAGATCCGTTGCTTAAAATTTTCCGTGAATTTATGATATTAATCACGTGTATCCTTAAATTGTTGTATTCACGTGTATCCGTGAATTTGTGTTAAGCCTTAACTTGGTTTTCTATTTTTTTCCTAGGAAGAAAATAATTTTATTTATATAATTTTACTTAAGTTAATTAAAAAACTAATTATGCTCAATAATCAACAATAATAATTAATGTTTTATTCAGAAAAACCTAACCTATAGAGTGACATAAGATAATTTTGTATAAATAAACAATAATATTTTAACAAATTATAATAAATAAACAAAAATTAATAAACAAAATAATTCAACACCTAAATAACTTTAATAACATAAAATATTATTAAACTAATAATTTTTCTATTTTGGTACAAAAATGTCAGCATATTTACATTTTTTGCCAACAAACAAGTCCTTTTTGAGGTTACTATATTTCCAGCAGTAGAAAAGCATCTCTCAGAGCTCACTGATGTGGCAGGAATAGCGAGATATTCCTTGGCTAATGCTGCAAGATTTGGGTATTTGATTTTCCTTGATTTCCACCACTCATATGGATTTAAATCAAAACGTAATTGAGGTTCCGCTGTATAAATTTGAAACTGAGTCGTTAAATTATCGTTTTTAATTATTGCATTTCCATATAAAAATTGAAGATCGCTGCTTTGAGCTAGTACTCGTCAATATTTCAAAGAAATAGTACATCGTAATCGTTTAAACAATTCGACCAAACAAATGAAACGAATATTGGAGTCGTACTAAGCAAAATGATCGTATTTGTTGGGAGTTACTACTGTTTTGCTTGGTGTTATACGACTTTTTTCTTAAGTATTATATCTATTATTACACAAAATACGTACAAAAACCAAATCCCTAATATCTGAACTTCGAGCAGAATACAGCGAATTTGCTTAGCTTTTAACATGTGCCATTAAATTCACATTGTTTTAATACAATAAAATAATTTTTCAATTTTCAGCGTATCGTCCATCTTTACTAGGACGGCAGTATATCTAAGCCACAAGCAATTTTATTGTCAACTAGGTACGAGAAGATAACTTATCGAACAACACCAATATTGAGTTAATGATGTATAAATATATAATAATTTTATCGTGCAGGAGTGCACGAGTCGTTTAGTATATTATCTGTGTAAATCGTGCCGCCTCTGTTTGATCTAAAATTAAAGTCTATTATTGTTATCAATCAAAACAATGAACTCGTACCTACCTAGTTTTCTTGTTTTAAACAAAATATTCTGATCAGTTTTGTGTGCAACATGCAGCAAACGTCTACCCGTTGTATGAAAATATAAGACATGTGTCATAGTCGACGTCGGGTGAGAGGGACTAGGGGGCTGAGCCCATCTAGTTTACATTTAAGCAAAATTATTTTATAAAAATTATATTTTGAAGGGAAAAGAAATTAATTTGGCCTCCCTCCAAAAAAAAAAAAACTGACCGCCCTACAACTATTTGATTTAATTCCCCCTATCCCAAAAAATTGGTTCCGACTACGGTTTTATGATTACGTTTAAAAATGTGTTCGTTTGTTCAGAAAGATTATAAAGATATTTAGAGGTTCCGCGCATCTATACAAATTATGTTCTATTTAAGTATCGTTATGCTCATATTTAATTTCCTTAAAAAAGAATAGGTGGTTGTTGTCGATGGTTCGTGCCAAGTGCTCAGTCATCGTCGTTACATTTCTCACCCTACAAAGAAGGTATATGTGCTCTATGAAATTTTCTCTTCGATAGGGTTTTCGAGTACCCCATTTCCAGGTGTCTTTTAGGTTGCAAACACTTAAGAGTAGACTGCGTTCAAGCAGGTGTCCATTCTCTTTGTATTGCACAGAACTGTAATCTTGGTCCGGAAGCGTAAAAATGAATTTAATTATCATATGAATAAATAAGTGTACAGAAATATAAATTACAATATGCATAATAGGTCTAGCAAAAATTAACTATGAAATATAATCCAGCAACACTATTAAATCATCCGTTTGTCCGTTAGAATTTGTATGATTTTTTCCATATCTCAATGTATACAAACTTTTATCCTGAACTAAATGACTTCAGCCTACAATGTAGTTGTATATATGAAAAAAAGAACCCAAATAACAAACCCATTTTAAAGATCACTTGCACATACAATGATTGAAGGTGGATTGGACGTATGAGTATATAAAGTCAACAAAAGAGGGTTAAAATTGGATAAATAATGTATACAGCTGAAAGAGACGTACAGTTATTGACGGAA